CAAAATATAGCCGTTATAAGTGTTAAGAATATTAGTGATAATAATAAGGATCCTGGGATATGTTTAAGGATCCTGAGGCTTCAGAAATATCAAGGATCCTAAATATGAGTTAAGGATCCTACCCATAACAATTGCCCCCAAATTATACATGTGAAATATAAACGTTAGTTTTCAAATATTTGGAGGTATAATTTTAAGGCAAAGAGCGAAGTAAAAAGTTCTAACGGATAGTGTAATTAAAATTTCAACAAATAGATTTCTAGCCGTTGGAATGGGTCAAATCACCCTTCTAGCTTTCCTTGATTCTTGTATAAATAGAGTACGTAACCTTTCAATTTCATCTTACTCATTAGCTCTTTTTCTGGAAGTCCACTGAATATCGTTGAAGGTACTATCTTGGTTCATTTTTTCCATCCTAGTTTTCTTTTTCTTTTAAAAATGGCTAAAAAAGGAGCTCGTTCTCGTGTAAACATTATAGCTATGCTTGATGATGATTTCGTAGATCATAAACTCCTTTCCTATGAGGAAACTTCTACCTTTGATGAAGATAGTTTCGAAGCTTTGAGATCTATTGAAACCTTTCCTGTTAGTACTGTTTCCAAACCTTTCTATATCAGGATCCAACTTGATTTTTTTCTTCTGTTTGGGTTTGTTTTCCTGAGTATCCCTTTACCTTAGGCTTTACTTATCCCTTTTTTGGAATCATTTCTGAATTTTTTGAAATCACCAAGATTTCATATATCTAAGCCATGCCAACAGTTTGGAGGATCCTTTATTGGATTAGTAGTCTGAACCGCTCCATGGGTCTCAATATTGGTCTAAATGAATTATCTTATGTTTACGACCTTTCTACCTTTGGGAATTCCCGTATCATGTTGAAAGTTAAAACCGATGGATCACCTCTTGTACTAAAATCCAAGCATAATGATGGTGCTTGGAAAGGAAGATACATTTTCGTAAAACGTGACTCGGTTACCGAAGGATATCTTTTACGTTAATCCTGGGTTAAAAAGGGTAGGGTTTCTTATTTTTACATCAAGGATCCCAATATTCACTCTTCTTATTTTGTTTAGTTTTTTGCAGCTCTCAAGTTTGACGAATTAGTTCCCCTTGTTGAAGACACCGAAGATAGGATCATGAACTTCTTTGCTCTACCTGAGATTGACAGGACATTCAAGCTCGATCCTTCCATTCATCAAGAAAGCTCAACCGCTATCATTCCTATGTCTACCAGTAAGGATCCTTGAGTACTTTCACCTTTGGTCTTTGAGAAATTTTAAAGACTTCTTTGGGTTTCCGAGGATCCAAAGCTACATGTGCTAGCGCTCATTTCTCCCTTTCTGATCTTGATATGACTATGTCAAGTGGCCAGATATTTGTGAAGAAATACAACACTAGATCCTCCCTTGCCTCAAAAAGGCCCATATCGATCTAACTATGAAGACCCTAGGATCCCGGAAGAGGAAAAATTTTGATGCTACGAGCTTGAGCTTGGAAAACCTTGGAGATGAGGATACACTTCAGAGGATGGTTTCCTTTTCTCAAGTTGTAGGTGTTTGTGTTACTTTTTTTCTTACAATTTTCCTTTCAATCCTTCTGATGTTGCTCTTATTCCAGGTATTTGATCGTATTTCCACAAACTTGAGCATCCGTGCTGAAAAGGTTGAACAAGCTTTAAGGGAACAAGAAAAAGTATGGAAGGCGACCAATGAGGATCTCTTGAGATGAGTGGAAATCCTGAGCAAGGAAAAGGCCGAGAAAGAGGATGAGCATGATCCAGAGATGGTGGAGGTGATCACCGAAGTGAAAGCTACTGTCCTCATGGCTGTTTGGGAAGCCAATATCAAACTGGTTGAAGACGTGGCTAACACAGGATCTTACAACGCGGTTGGGTGGCGCACATCCCTTGCTGGATTAAAGGGAGAACCAATCAGGACCATTGAGGATCTTGAGGGACAGCAACCAAAGGCGAATGAGAAGAAGAAGACCTCAGGCAATGATGACCAAGCCATGGTCTAGGCCTGGTAGACAAAAATATTCAACACGACTTTTTACAAGACAATTTTCATTTTTTATGGAATCGATGTATAACTCTTTTCTTTCATCTATGGTTGTTTTAAATTCTTTTGTTTTCATGGTTAGTTTATGTGATTGTAACAATAGGATTTCTAGGTATCCTTGCGTATTTAGAATCATGGAAAGAACCCTGAACAACCTGAAATTTGTTAGACATCAAATTAAAATCTTAAAATAGTCAAGATCTTTTTAAGATAATAGACCTTTGAACATTATGTGGAAAATATGATTTTAAAGGATAGAAAAAACCTTTTGCTCCTTAGGGTTCACAATCCCTTGAATTAGACATGGAAGGATCCTTACTTGAAAGATCCCTGTTAAGATTTTACTTAGTGAATCATAGAGGATCCCTCTTCAAGGATTAACTGTGTACAACCCCAACTTTAAATGTAACATGAGAGGATCCTGTTTACAAAGCCTTAGATGTTTCCTGGAAAAATCCTATCTTTTGACAAACACGATTACGTTCAATAAATTTTTGAAGATAATTCTAACTTAAGATAACACATTAGTTTTAAGAAGTAACTGGGGAAAGTCCCAAATTAGGATAAACTTCAGTAAATTACTAGGGGAAATCCCAACTTAAGACAACACATAAGCGTTATTAACCTTATGAAATCACTAGGGAAGGTCCCAAATTAGGATAACATGTAAGTGTTATAAACCTTATGAAATCACTGGGGAAGATCCAAACTTAGGATAACACGTAAGTATTATAAAACTTATGAAATCACTGGGGAAGATCTCAACTTAGGATAACACGTAAGTGTTATAAACCTTATGTTTAAATGTTAGGATCTTGACATATATTCAGAAATAAGAGATTTACCAAGTCACTAAAGCATGAAATGATCCCCTTATTCACATCCCACAATAAGATTTTGTGCGTCCAAGCGAGGTGTAGAATCCTTAACTTGTATGAAAGATGTAATTAACTCTTTAAACCTTGGAGGGGATTAAGTACCCTTAGTCATAAGAGAGATGATTAGTCTCTATTCGTAGTTACTAGGGTACTTTGCGTATTGCAATCGTAAATATCATAGAACTATGTATCTATTAGTATCCCTAAATGCTAGGATCCTCGAATGTCAAGATCCTATAACGGCAGGATCATCGCATGTTAGGATTCCTATGTGTCAGATCCTTGGAGGTTAGGATCCTTGAGTTCCTGCGCATTGCAAATGTTAGCTTGGGGTAGGCTCTAGCTTGGCTAACGCCCTTCCGATGCTTAAGTTAGTATTAGATTTCAGAAGAATAAAAAGAATTAGATGAAAATAAAAGGTAGAGAGAGTGTACCTTGAGTTTGTTTGAAAATGATTGATACAACTTACATGAAGTATGCTTTTAGATGGATGACATTCCAAGATCTCGGCAAGATGTTGCCCTCAAGGGTAGCTAGCCAATATGCCCCCTTTCCTACTTTTGAATCGATGAGATACGGTCCTTCCCATTTAGGTGCCAACTTGCTCGCACTAGGATCCTTGGTATTTTGGAATGCTTTCCTAAGTACCAAGTCACCTACTTGGAACCTTATGACTTTGATGTTCTTGTTATATGGTTTAGTGATCCTTTGTTGATGAGCAACAATGCGGATCTTGGCAAGATCCCTGATTTCATCAATAGTGTCGAAATCCTAGGCTAGGATCCTACCGTTGATCTGTTGATCCTACAATTGATATCTTGATGTTGGGATTACTACTTCAGTAGGGATCACAACTTCTATTCCAAACACCAAGGAGTATGGAGTTTGGCCAATGGCTACCTTTGAAGTGGTCATATCTGCCCATAGGACGAGAGGAAGTTCTTCTGCCTATCTTCCTTTCTTCTCATCTAACCTCTTCTTTATATTATTGACTAAGATATTATTGTCGGATTCATATTGACCATTAACTTGAGGGTGAACAGGAGTGGAAATTATCATTTTAATCCCCCAACTCGTACAAAAGTCTCCACTACTAGAAAAACAGTCTTTTACGACGCGCAATACATGTCGTAAAATTCTCAGACGACGCGCAAATGCGTGTCAAGGAAGGCCATGTCATAACGAGAGACGACACGCTTTTGCGTGTCATAACCTTACGACGCACGTTTATGACACGCATTGCGTATCATTAAAGCCCCTGTCATAAATGAAGATGACACACATTTGTGTGTCATAAACTTCAACAGCCATTTACGATATGCATTTACGACGTGCCTTTACGATATTCATTTACGCATAATACAAAAATATGGAAACAAATATATACCAAAATAGTCAATTCGATCCAATAACATCATGTCAAACAAGTTATCAAAAATTGAAATACATTGATATTAATTTGATAGTACATTGTTATTAAGGGGTTTTCCTTAACTATATAACCTGATACTACATCCCTAACTATATAACCTGATCCTTCATGTCATTGGTTTGCCACCTGGTGTACCATGTAAAAATGTTGAACTTGGTGTCATGGGCGGCTGACCACCGAGCGTGGCTGGAAAGTAATTACTTGCTGATAAGATAACAATGCTTTAATCCAAGACGAGTCAAGAATGCCTAAGAAAAAGAATCAACTAAACAAGCAAAATCTTGATTGGATTTTTGTTAGTGTAAGAAGTTAAAGGTACAACCCTTTAGATGGCAGCTAGTATCCCAAGTGTGAGGTCTGGCGGCTTGTGATCCATTGTCACCTAAAACAAAAAAAAAAATCTTGAGTTAGAAACAAACTTCACCTTTATTTATTAGTTTTCCCTCCACCACTGTAGGCATGCTTCAAATTCGTTAGATCAATGTTGTCCAAACTGTTAGACGACAATGAGTCTCCAAGTAATCCTAAAAATCAAAGTAATGCTTCAAACTCTTTTCAGTTTTGTTAGAAACAAACTTTCTGTGGAAGATCTTTATGCCAAATACATTGAATTCGTGCGGAGGGAAATATTCAAGCCCAAGTGTTATAAGGAAAAAATGACACCCTATCAAAAAGAAAGAAAATATGTCTAAGTTGATTTCAATCTATCCCAATTTTCATTGATCAAACATTCAACTTTCATAGATTCAATTCAAATCAGAAACACACCTCAGCAGCAAGATAACAAATAGATCCACCAGTGAAATTCCACCCAAAATATCCCTCACTGTAACAAACAAACTCTTTTAATTTTGTTTTGATTGAGAATAAATAAAATACCTCAGAGCTTCATATGACCGATACCTCCTTTGAAGGACCCATATAGAGGCCTTGATCTCCTGAAACTGAAAGCATCTTCAATATTTACAATTTTGCCCTCGCCTGCATCTCGTGTGTCCTCTGTAGCATGTGTGGTCGAGAAGACTTGCACACTTAAAGCCTTCTTTTATGGAACACCCGCTTTTATATGTTCATAAAAAAATTGGATCATTTCTGCCTTGCTCAACTGCTTCAATGCAACCACCTGTCTCATTACATTGCCAACAATTAACTTCTGTCCCTGGATAAATAATATTTTAAATAAAAGTATCAAGAAAATGACACAATGGGAAAATTTATAAAAAGCTCCATACCTCGTGATCTTTCCTATCAAATTTGAGGGTACCATCTTGGATTTCTCGCCAAAAGTATACAGATTCTTTTCTTAAGTTCCCGTGCTTCTCAAGCTTCATCTCAATCAGTGCATTAACATTGCTCTGCACCATTATAGTATTAGATATTCAGATCAATAAACGATATTCATATTTTCATACGAAAATTCCAAATTGATAAAGAAAAAACAACTCTTGTGACCTTGAATTCATCATCTGGCATCTCATAGAGGTAAATCCAAGAAACGGGATTAGTATCAATGAATGTGACTGTAATAATTTGTCATATACTGAATTTTCTCTCTTAGTTTTTTTTTTTCGTATTGGAGTTTTCCACGTATATTTTTGTGTTCTTATTTCTTCATCATCTTTCATTGGGCAAACAGTTGGAAATCTTTGAGACCATTTTCCCAACATTAGTCAAGTCATACATCATACAAACAAATAAAAAAACATGACAAAGTGCCCACCTTTACTGTAGATTGTATGATGAACTGCACTCCACGGATGCCAGAATCGTTCCTAATATTATTCAATTTCATAAATATTGATTCTCATTAAAAATCCAAAATGAGATTTGGGTCGTTTATAAAAAAAAATATAGAATAAGTGCAAGTGTTTCATATACCTCTGCATAAGCACAATGATGTAACCAAGTTGCTCAACTGATCTAAGTTGGTGAAAGGCTGGTTGTTTAGCAATAAGAGCAACCAGCTGAAGTTTGATATTCAACTTAAAATCATCCTGATGTACATGTATATATTATATACACCATACCACAATTAACAATTAACAATTTCATTCATCATTATATCTTATGATACTTGAAAAAATATGCTTACCTGAATGTAGTGAAGAAGAGCTGAATTTTCATCACTTGGATTCATACCCTCTTTAGTATAGCAATATGTAACATCCTTTTCTAAGTTGACCACCCTATTTGTCAGATGCTGTGATGGGAATAGAGCTTGAGACAAAGGTTTTGTCCCCATAAAAACTACATCTTCAACATGTTGAATCATGAATTCGGCTTCATTTGATTCAATATTCCCTGGTTGTTGTATAGCTTTAGATAACACAAGAAGAATAAAAACATAACTGGAATATATAGTAATGGTATAAAAACCTGCTGCATAGTACTCTATGAAGATTCTTGACAAAATTTGAGGATAAAATCTTGAAAGATGTTCAGGTTCAAGAACAGAAAGAACTTCAAGCGCATCAGTCCAAGGCCATGATCCAGCTTTTACAAGTAATGAGCAGTGATACATGGCCTGCTGATATGGCTGTTGAAACTTGTAATTTTCATATTCTTTTATCACCAGTTCCTATAAAAAAGACATGTAATTACACATACATAAGTAACAATATAAAGTCATCGACATAACATAAGTAGCAATGCCTTTTTTATACCTTGATCACATAGAACCTGTCCGCTTTTACTTCAAAAGTTGTAATTTTCGCTATTACAGTGTCGAGTAAGATCTCCAACTTGTGACTATATCCAGTCAAAGTCACCTGAATTGTTAATAAAAACAAGTTCACAAGTAAAGAGTAAGTGTCAAGAGATAATATATTAATAGTGAGAATTTTTTTTACCTGAAAACCATTATTTGTGTGAGAAATGGCATAATACAGACCAGCAACCTGAGCATCATAAGCTGAAATGTACAAATAAGAAGAGTATTAATAATGTAATATGTAATACAACAATAGTAAACAAATAAATATGTGTGTGTAAAAGAGAGTTAAATATTATATCAGATAAAAAAGCATAAACTCAACCGAAAGTAGATTTAAACTTCTTTTGTGACTAACCGTATTCATTCAAGTAATCCATCAATAACCGAGTAGAAATATCAGTAAGAACATTTGCTTCAGGGGAACTGCTAGCAAATGGGCAGTTAAAATCCAACTTAACATATGCTTTTGGAGTAGAAAATGTTGTGTCAGGCTTATACCACAATCTTGATTATTGTGATTTCCTCAATAAAAATGGAATGTTCACCTGTTTAGAATTTAAAACACCACAACAGAGTTAGATTGGAAGATAATAAGATAATGAGATATGATTAAAAATTATATCACCAATCACAACTCACACCTTTTCTTTCACGTTCTTAATTGACAAATCAGTAGGTATGAATACATTAGGACAGGGCAAATGTAGGTCTTCTTCAGGAGCTCTTTTCATCCATTCCTGTAATTTATTTACACATGTGATATAATAAATAATTCTGATTACAAAGTCAAACACATGTAAAGAAAAGTCAAAAGTAATACCTGAATGGTGGAGCCAGTGGTTTTTTCAACAGAAAATGCAGTTCCATACCATGGTTCTGTCATCTCAGTATGTCCATCAAAGTTTGTTGACTCCCAAAAGATTCTAGAACCAGAAGGGCATAATTGAGAAATCATATAAATTTATCCAACACTAACAAACTCATTGATAGATAATACGCTACCTGACATTGTTTGGTGTGAGCTCATTTAGTGCAGACTGAATAACTTCAGGGGAAAAAGTGGAAAGTAAAAATGATCCAACTAGCCAATCTTTTGAAGGGTATAACTGCAATGTTGTTCAAAATCAAAATGATTATTCAAATAAGTAATCTAAAGAAAAAATATGATAAAAAGTGCAAATACCTACATATTTGATGAAAATTTCACAACATAATCAATTGGAGGAATCTTGTCCTGATAATGGAAAGTCATCTCACAGATTGTAGAAAGCTATATGGATCATCTAACAAAATAACATCATTAGATTTTTTTTTTTAAAAAAAGAGTATGAACATGATATGATAATATTTGCTGTTATTTTCAGGTACCTCATCAAAGATCCACTTGCAAACACCAGATTGTTGCAAGAGTGTAATGTATTTGAAAAGGAGCCCAATTATATGTTCAGCATTTGCTGGTGTTTTCATGAAACATATATTACAAATGATGTCAGTATCTAAATAAACATGAAAGAAATGAACACACACACACACACACAGAAAAAGAAGACTGGAAACACTGACCATGTCCAGCATCAGTTAATTCAATAACCACTTTAAAGAAAGAGAAACTCTACATTCCAGTCTGATTCACCAGCAGACAAGCTTGTTGCCCAAACCAATTTCCTCAAGACATAGAAGAGGGATCCTTCTCCTTCATGACCAATTAAGTGTCCAAGATACCTACTTGGCCCTTCCATGTAATGATGAATGCCAGGTGTCATTGGCCATGTAATTCTCAGCTTGTGACCACGTCTTACAGGAACAGTTTTCAGAATAACCTGATAAATAAATGCAACAAGACAATATGTATCCCAAAATCATACAAATGATACATAAAATAAAAGAAGCTTTAAGGACTCAGACCTAAAGATTACTTATTTGAATGGTTGACCAGGGAAACTGGCATGGATGCGGTCAAGCTAGGTGGAGGCAGACAAGCTAGGGAAGAGAAGAGTCGCACACAGTGGAGCAGCAGTGTAGGGCGCAAACCACATATTCGTGATTCTCTCTCCCAAAATTCTGAAACGATAAGTTGTTGGATAAACAACGTAGTTTTCTAAATCTTGGGATGAATCGTAGTTATAAAGGTCAAAGTCAGAAATCTAAAAGCCTAGAACTACTGAGTCAAATCAAGGTTACCTTTTAACTTCGATTTAAAAAATGAGGAAATTAGGGTTACCTTCTAGCTTCGATTTGAAATTTGAGAAATTAGGGTTACCTTCGACATTGAATCAGTTACATCTGGAGACAAATCTCCCACAAATATCGATAGATCTGAACCAATGCTTTCTCCACGCTTTTCTCCTGTGCTAAAACTCGCTCAGTTTAACCAGAAAGCTTGATCTGTATTTGGCATCATGGTTCCATTGTAGGTCTGGAGGATTTTCTCAGCGGATGAATGAGAAAGAAAATCGATGAATCCATAACGTTCTGATTGGCCAGTTTGTTTGTTTCGTATTAGTTTTATAGATTGAACCTGTAAATTTAATGAATAGAGTGTCACGAACGCCGTTTTGCGAGAAGCATGACTGGAGATAAGTTTCCCCCTTATCTACTAAATGGATCGGAGAAGAGGGAGAAGGAAGGAGAGGGGAGAATCGATTTCTAAGATGAAAGATAGAAAGAAGATAGAAAAGCTGGTTTTGAAAATTTTGGGGTATTTCGATTTCCCCCTTATCTACTGAACGCGCGTTTCTTTAAAATTATAAAGCGACAATTACAGAGGACGCGCATTTAACATACAGCACCCTCCGTGTTTTAATTTTTTTTCTTATGACACTAATTTAAGGGCACGCAATAATGCGTCACCTAAATCCTTAATTTTTTTGAAGAGATGACACTTTTTTAATGTCGCTCTCTTTTGCGTAACATAAATCAACGAGTGTCGTGGTTTGCGCGTCATAAAAGGGTCTTTTTCTTGTAGTGCTCTAGTCCTTTTGCTTATGAACTGGGATCCATTATCGCATATGATCTCAGCAGGGATCTCGAACCTGTTCAGGATATTTCGTTTGATAAACGAGACCACTTCGTTGCCTCATACTTGAAAAAAGGCTTCAGCCTCTATCCATTTCGAGAAGGAATCTGTCATTACTAACATGAATACCTTTCCACAAGGGGCCTTTGGTAACTTGCCAAGTATATCCATTCCCCATTTCATGAATGACCAAGGGGAAACGATAGTATTTAAGGGTTCTATTGGTTGATGTAGGATGTTGCTATGTATTTGGAAAGCATCACATTTTTAGGCATGCAAGAAAGCATCCTTTTTCATTGTTGGCCAGTAGTATCCGGTTCTTAATGCTTTGTCGTATAAGAATCTACCCCCAGTGTAATTGCCACAATCCCCTTCGTGTATATCTTTTAGGACTTCTGTAGTTTCATGATCTTCTTAGCATCTAAGGTATGGACCTTCCATGGATTTCTTGTACAATATTCCTTGGATCATCATAAATTGTAAGACCCTCATCTTGAATGCTCTCTCATTTTATTCTTCTCTTGGGATTGTGCCATTTTGGAGATAGTCCACAATGGGCTAGATCCAAGTTTTGGAGTGTTGTGAAGGATCCTAAACGTTGGGACCATGGAGGTTTGGATCCTTAGGAAGTGGTTGAGGGTTAAGATCCTCGATTATTGACATGTTGGTTGTTTGGTCATGGTGATTGGGATCATCTGGTTTGTTGGAGGGATCTTCTATCGCTAGAATCAGTATATGGTTTATAAGGATCCTGATTTCTGGCGGGATCCTAAGAGAAGATACTAGGTTCGCTAGAGTGTCTGCATCCACATTTTCTTCTCTGGGAACTTGGCTTAGGCTTAAAACTTCCAATTCAGAGGCCAAATTTTTGAGAATTTGGAGGTATACTGTATGCCCGTGTTCCTAGGCTAGACATTAATATTGACATGATAGTCTAGGTTAACCTTTGTTACTCATTTTGGAGAAATGAAAAGGAATTATGTGAATATTATGTGTTTTACGTGTTTTATGCTTAATTATTAGGATTTAATTAATTAAGATTAAAAATGAGCGTCGAAAATAAATATTAGATAAAGCCGATATTTATTAAGAAAGTTGTAGTGGTCGTGACAAGGATTACGGATATATAAAGAATGCCGAAATCCGAGTTATAACGAAGAAGTTATGACCTGTCGAAGTTTCGTGACAAACCGCCACGGTGCCGAATGTCGTAAAAAGTGAGTTTTTGATAAACTACTTTTTAGCCTTAGTGATCTAAACGAAACTCGTAGTGTTCGTTAAACCGAGAGTATGTATAAAAAGAACGCCCAAATCTGACTTCGTATGAGGAAGTTATGATTTTTCGAAGTTTCAGCTTAGCAGTAGACAGCTAAAAACTCGAATTTTAGATCGAGTGATTTTTAGCGAGACGACCTAAACGAGAATCTAAGGTCTCGTAAATAGTAGCACAACGGTAAAAATTCTGACGAAAACGGTCGTCGGATGAAGAAGTTATGAATTTTTAACGGATTTCTTGTCCCGGTCTGTTAAAAATAATAATATAAAAATTAAAGTCAAATTTAGCCAACGAAGTCTAAACGAAAGTTGTAGAGCGTAGTTTTACCTACGCGTGCATATAAAGAACGTCAAAAACAGAGCCCGTATGCGAAAGTTATGTATTTTAGAAGAATTGGGCACAATTTCCGAGGAATCTCGCAAGGATAAGGCCAATCTCGGTGAGTCACCCGCTGAGTCCGACGCGTGTTGATTGCTGATTTGACCGAGGGTGCGGTCCAATGGCCTTCTGATGTGCCTCGGTTCTGACTTCGCCCCGTGTCCGATGTGTTGGACCAATCCGAGGCCGGCACGCACCCATCTCGCATCCGAGCCTCGCCCCTTCTGCCACATGTTCCGAACCTCGCAGCCAGCAACCTTCCCTCCGGATCCGAGGCTGGCAGCTGCTGCCGCGTGGAGCTTCCTCAACCATTGATCTTCGGTCTCGCACCCTATAAAAGGGGGGGTTGCGAGATCTCCCGGCTAGAATTAGAAACTTGGCATTTTTCACCCCTAAACTCATATTTTCACTATTTCGACCTCCCCCGAATGTCGTAAAAAGTGAGTTTTTGATAAACTACTATTTAGCCTTAATAATCTAAACGAAACTCGTAGTGTTCGTTAAACCGAGAGTATGTATAAAAAGAACGCCCAAATCTGACTTCGTATGAGGAAGTTATGATTTTTCGAAGTTTCAGCTTAACAGTAGACAGCTAAAAACTCGAATTTTAGATCGAGTGATTTTTAGCCGACACGACCTAAACAAGAATCGAAGGTCTCATAAATAGTAGCACAACAGTAAAAAGTCTGACGAAAACGGACGTCGGATGAAGAAGTTATGAATTTTTAACGGATTTCCTGACCCGGTCTGTTAAAAATAATAATATAAAATTAAAATCAAAATTAGCCAACGAAGTCTAAACGAAAGTTGTAGAGCGTAATTTTACCTACGCGTGCATATAAAGAACGTCAAAAACAGAGCCCGTATGCGAAAGTTATGTATTTTAGAAGAATTGGACACAATTTCCGAGGAATCTCGCAAGGATAAGGCCAATCTCGGTGAGTCACCCGCTGAGTCCGACGCGTGTTGATTGCTGATTTGACCGAGGGTGCGGTCCAATGGCCTTCCGACGTGCCTCGGTTCTGACTTCGTCCCGTGTCCGATGTGTTGGACCAATCCGAGGCCGACACCCACCCATCTCGCATCCGAGCCTCGCCCCTTCTGCCACATGTTCCGAACCTCGCAGCCAGCAGCCTTCCCTCCGGATCCGAGGCTCGCATCTGTTGCCGCATGGAGCTTCCTCAGCCATTGATCTTCGGTCTCGCACCCTATAAAAGGGGGGGTTGCGAGATCTCTCGGCTAGAATTAGAAACTTGGCATTTTTCATCCCTAAACTCATATTTTCACTATTTCGACCTCCCCCGAAGCCCCGAGATCATTTCCAACACCCGGAACACGCCCCGAAGTGCCCGAAGACCTAAAAAATTTATCTTTTCGGTTTCGAAGCCCGACCCTTCGCAGAGCCCGGTTTCTCAATAAAACTCCCGGTTTTATTAGAAACGATCGTTTTAGGAAACGAATTGTTGCCCGATTTTCATTAAATCAGGTGAGTGTGTAGTCACTTTCATCTTACACATAGATATGAAGTATTTTATATAGAATATGTGCTATGTGTATATATGTTGTTTGTTTATTCGAGATGGGTGTTGAATGAATGCTTTATACATGTTTAAAATGATTTAAAATGTATATATATTTTATCTTCGAACATGTTGGGTAAAACATGGGTAAATAAAGTATGAGGGATAAAAGTACAATATAGATGTACGTTAGTAGCTATGAATTTAGTACAATATAGATGTACGTTGGTAGCTATGGATTTAGTACGTTGGTAGCTATGGATTTAGTACGTTGGCAGCTATGGACTTAGTGCCTGTTGTGTAAACCTTGGCGACGATGTGACTTCGTGCCTATTTGACATAAATTGCTGAGGGTAAGCAATGTTTTCACCCCGATGTTTGTTTTATTTGACATAAATTGCTAAGGAAAGCAGTGTTGTCACCACGTTGGTTGTTTTATTTGACATAAATTGCTGAGGAAAGCAATGTTGTCACCATTTTGATTAATTTATGTCAGGTGGTCTTATTTGACATAAATTGATGAAGAAAGCAATGTTGTCACCTTATTGGTTGTTTATTTGACATAAATTGCTAAGGGAAAAGCAATGTTGTCACCCCGATGTTTGCCTTATTTGACATAAATTGCGGAGGAAAGCAATGTTGTCACCCTATTGGTTGTTTTATTTGACATAAATTGCTGAAGAAAGCAATGTTGTCACCTTACTGGTTGTTTTATGTTAGGTTGTCTTGTTTGACATAAATTGCTGAGGAAAGCAGTGTTGTCACCCCCTTTGGTTGCCTTATTTGACATAAATTGTTGAGGAACCCCCGAAGCAATGTTGTCACCCCTAATAAAAAATCCTTAGGCTAGGTCCCTTGTGATAGTTGTTCTAGGGACGTAAGGTGAGGATAACGGGAATGGGTAATTAGGGTTAATTTGGTTGATTGATTGATGTTTAAGCATAATAAATTATGTATTGTGGGTTGAAAACCCTATATGCTCACCAGGCTTCCAAGCCTGACCCACTCAGCTTTTTATATTACAGGTAGTGGACCCCGAGCATAGTCGGATGATGATGATGAGTGATTTTTGGATTATA